AACACTGAATTAACCCAATCTGAAATGGGACATTTTCTATGGAGCATTTGCCTCCTTGGTTCACACAAGAGCAAAAATTATCCGAAACAACTGCGGGCATGTCTGTCAGCTTGTCTTGCAGCAGGGAGGAAAAATAAGGACAATGGAGGGTTTTTTGGACCACCGGCACTTTGTGTCTATCACTGGTGGAGCACTAACGGATCATCACTAAGGTGAGACTTCTGCCAGGCACCCTTATTGTACTTATTGTTAATCATAATAATTTATTAATATTTATTAAGACTCTTTCAGACTTACAGACACTTACAACTGCATATAAGAAGTTCAACAAAACATCCACAGTCAACTAAAAAGATCAACCCATAACCCCAATTAATAACAAACCTTACAGCTTTATCACCCAGATAAAAAAAATTATGAAACATGAAATAAGAGATAAATAACAGCATTCCATTCCAAGTGGTGAATAATCATTCCCCAAACTGCATGCCACCCTTACAACATATTAACATCCCAGTATAGTTTTTATTCGAAGGAAATTAAACCAAGGATTAAAAATGCAACGTACACATAACATTCATTCATTTCCTTGCTTGGTTGGCTTACATGCCGCTCCATTCAACAACTGACTTTTATATAAATAATACAAGCAAACGGATTAGTGCCACATAGAACAGAAGCTTGGGGGGTGGGGGGAGTGCTGGAAAGATGAGAAAGAGTACACTTTTTTGAAATGGTTTAGATTACTACCTCGACATTTCTAAGGGAGGTAGACCAAAGGAAGTTCCTGGGTCCTTCACAATCTTCAGTTGGCACCCCCAAAAATGCAAAAAGCCTGAAGTGCATCAGACCCATTTTAAAGGCCCAAACCCATGACAAATTCTCTTTAACTCCAACACCCTATTTCTCATAAGATCACCTCCAAAAAAAGCTGATGATTCCTGCTTCATTACCACAAAGTAAATCAGCAGAAGGACTGGCACCAGCTGAGACTTTGCAAGTAAAGAATTAACATTTCTCTTGAAGACCCAAAGGTCCTTCACTAAATATACAAACTTTTGTACAAACTTTGTCCCTTCCCCATTTCCCCTTACCTTAATCGGGATCACATCTTTTAAGGTCAAGCAAAGTAGTCAGCTGAAGGCGGGGAAGAAACGCCAGTTGGGGGAGTGCTTTAAAAAATACCCCACTAATTTTGAGATTCTAAAGAACTATAGCTAGGAGGCAGACCAAATTATTTCACACAAGCTTGTTCACCACCTTCCCAATGTGGCTTACTTAGAAAATTCAAGCGTAGTTCCTTGAGATTTACATAACTATCTGCACCAGTCCCTGCAGTAACCACAGACACTATCAATTTACATCTGTGCAGGGAAACATCTGCACACGTGGGAACAAGCAGGTTCACATTCTTCAGAGTAGCCAGTAACTCTGGCTTGCTTAACTGCTTAAATTTCATGTCACTGAGGGGAGATTCAAAGTGCACACTATCTACCTACCTATTACTAGACTCATTCAGGAACTCAAGGCCCCATACATAGCATTCCCCCCTCCCATTTTCCCACAACAATATCCTTGTGAGGTAGACTGGGCCCAAAGCTCCTTGGCTAAGGGGGAACTAGAACTTGGGTCTCCCTACTTCTAGTCCAGACCCTTCACCACCCCACAACAAAGACTCTCTTACACGTGTTGCACTTATGATGAAAGAACCCTACGTAGGATCAGATTCTAAGAGTACCATTTGCAACCTGATGTCACAAAATGTGATGGATCTGTCACTTTCTGAATTTCAAACCAGCATGGCTGTCTTGAAAGCCACCTCCGCATTCTCCGAACTGCATCTCCTTGGATTTACAAAAGAGGGTTGTGAAAGCCATGAAAAAAAATCCTGAGATAGGAGAAAGAAAATTTGGATGGAGATCAATTCCTGTGACAGCATCTTAATGAAGTCAAGATTAAGACTGTTAGGTGCAAAAGAAAGGAATATAAAATGATCCTGTTTGATCAAGGTTAAAATAAGAAATACTTTTATAAAGCTCTGGGTACTCTTTATGGACTTTTTGCTGATCCTGAACAGAAGCGTTTAATGATTTGTGGATTTGTGGATGGATAAGGGTTTGGATATTGGAAGAAGTGATTTATGTAATATAATATCAAAGGGGGTAGAGAAGTACTAACTTTGCTTGTACGTCACTTCTTTAAATATTTTTTCATTTTCTTCTCTTTTTTTGCCTTTCACACAGTACCAAACCGTACTGCAGTTTTATTTAATTTCTGATCATGGCTTGTATCTTAGGATGATGTATGGCCTCAACTAATTGTAGTTAGCCCACAGTCTAACTAAAATGGTTAAGCAACGAAATAAATGGAACGTAAAGACTGTTCTAAGAAAGCTTCCCGACCCGAATGCACAGAAAGGACTGTAGCTAAGCACTGGGTGGTGTTAATTACAAACGATCCCCCAAAGGTTATTCGAAACCTGTGTAGCAATGTACAGGGAATCTGACCAGGTGATCTCTGAGGTCCCTCCCAGCCTTCACATTCTAGGATTCCATGACTACATCAAGGCAGTGGCTTTTAGGCATCTCCCATAGGTTAACTTTTCCCCACTGACCCCAAACACATTGCAGGACGTGTCAAAAGATACTGGAGGGCCTTTTCCTGAAAGCAGATTTAAGATCAAATAAATGTTGTTCATTAAAGACCTCTTTGTTTTATTTGCTCAAAAGTAAATGCAGAGGATCCAATCTGGACCCTAGTGGAGGAGTTACGGGACTCTGAACTTTTGTTCTTTCCAATATAATCCCAATCTAGATTAAGGATCAGATAACTGTAATTTATAGTGACAAAATGTGGTCCAATATATCTGAGGGGTACAAAGGGTTAAATCCCCTTGGCCACCCAAATCTCATTTCAGAACAAATCCCTAGAGTAACTGTTGAATAAAGAGCCGTGTCTTAGAGTAACCTGTGTTTTATTCTTTACATCATCTGGGATGCTGTGCTGTTAAATACGTTTTTTTCATACAGTATCCTTCCATATTATTAATTGAACCACGCCTTATTCAATTAACTCAGTTACTTGGGTTCACATGGCACACTGAACCATAAATTAATCACATGAGCTGGGTACACTAGGAAAAACACAGTTGCTCGTGTGAACCCAGCCTCAGCAATTTGCCTCTTACGGAATCAATAGTGTTTGCACTGACCAATGCCTGAAAGGGTCCATCAAAGTGTTCTTTTTCTCCAATCTTACTTGGACTTGTTGCTGATTTGAACCTGGGTCCTTCTGACCATAAGGCAGATGCTTTGATCTATACCACTGAGTATAGATTTTTCAAAGGAATTAAGAATACAGAAAGTTGAAGGTTCAACCATCTTCACCTTCAATTTGCCTTCTACTTTATATACAGGTAGTCCTTGTTCAGCGACCACTTGTTCAGCGAATGTTCAAAGTTACAACGGAACTGAATGAGTGGGACTTACAACTCGTTCTCATCATTCCAACTGTTGCAGCATCCCTGTGGTCAGGATTGTGATTCAGGAACTTGGTGACCAGCACGCAATTATGACAGTTGCAGCATCTCATGTCACAATTGCCATTTGCAACCTTCACTGCTGGCTTCCAACAAGCAAAGTCAATGGGGAAGCCAGCAGAAGATCGCAAGTGGTGATCACGTGATGTGGGACACTGCAACCAGGTGGGATTTGCCCAATGACGGCAACTGAAACTGCTGTCGTAAGTTGGCATGGTCACATGACATCGTGTTTTACAACTGCATTGCTTAGTGACCGAGTGGCTGGTCCCAATTACCGTTGTTGACTGAGGACTACCCGTAAATACGTTGTAACAACCCTGTATTCTACCCATCCAGAAACACATCCACAGGGACTCCAGGATTACACCCATGTTCAAAGGCCTGTAAGAGTCTACCCCAAAATGGTGGCTGCCAAATGCGTTGGACTTCAACTTCCTGAATCCCTAGTCAAACTTGGCTTCTTAGATAAGTGTCAAAAAGTCAAAGAAGCCTTTCTCCTAGATGACATCTGGCACCTTATCTCCAGCTATGCGTTTCTATTTAGATGAAAGGGAGGGGAACCGAAAGAAAGCCATAAAACAATTTGCATCCTGCGCATAAAGGCAAGGTTCAACTTATGAAACCTTGTGTTAGCAAGGAATTTATTTTTTTTCAGCTAGTGCTGTGGGATATAATATCAAAGGCCATCTTTGTTAGCAGACTCCAATCTTTGCCTGCGACACTGAAATCTGTTATCTGGAACATCTCTGGACGCTTTGCCTGCAGACAGTTTAGCATGGCTACCATTTCAGCACTGCTAGACTTTTCAAAATAAATAAATGAATGAAAGATCCAATACACTGAACCATTGTTTCTCAACCTTGGCAACTTTAAGCTGTGTGAACTTTAACTCCCAGAATTCCCTCCTTGATGTGCCTGGGTTACGATGCTGCTGCTGGAGGACTTTTGCCAGTAAGAAAGAATTGAAGCATTTTTTTTCCTTTTTATTTTGCCACACTCTGCTTGGAGTTTTAAATAAAGTTTCTGGGAATCAAGTTATCTCAATCGATCTTACCAGCTATAGGGCAGATAGCCATGCTCTCTGTCCACAAATGCAAACATAGCTTCCTAGCCCTCTCCCCAATGTGGACAGTGCTAAGAAATGGTACTTGGGCTTTAAAATGGTCCAGCGCTAGGAATGCCACAGCCATCCAGGTCTTTCCAGGGTGGAATTACAGTCCACAACTCTACAGCCAACATGGGTAAGCACTCTCTGGTCCAAGGACAATGTTTAGAGAAACGGCCAGCCAGGTGGCTAAAGAAGAACTACGTACCTCTTGGGATTTCTGATGCTTGCACGGCTAACAGGTACCAGCAGACAGAGAAGACGACCTACAGTACCTGTTTTGGGTGAGGACGCCTAAGAACCCAATTCATAGCTCTTTAATACTGCACAAAAGTCTGGGGCGCAATACCATACCTTCACGTGTGGCTACCTCTAAGGCCACTTTCCCAAAACTGGCATCTCCCAGTTGAGTTTCGATTCCAATTCCAAGGTCTCCAATGCTTTCCATGTTGATTTGGGATTCAGAGAGCTGCAGGCCCCAATGCCACTGGAGGATGTTAAGTTAAAGAGGATTGAAGTATGATTACATGGAGGAGGAGAACAGCTCTGAGCACCAGATATGCTCAGAATCAATCTATAAAGTCCTTTGTGGTCTGGACCACCCTTATATGAAATAAAGTTCCTTCCCATCTATTGTCATCTAAACCTGCCCCCTTCCCATTTTGGGGGACTGCTCAGAAGTGGTAGCCCCCATCTTGGAATATTTTCCCCAGAAAGACCTGCTCAGCATCTTCTTTGCCTTTTTGTCCAATTTTTAAAGTATTAGAACCTCCTAATTTTGGCTCCTTCAGGTTCGAGAGGCTGGGGTAACGTTTTGCCTAACTCTCTGCTGTTAATGGCAACTATTTTAGTGGCATTTTTAGTTTTGCTTAATGCTGCTGTTTCTACCTGAATGACATTCTTTTTTTATTTCATCTTAATGTTTTGTAAGCCACCCTTCTATTGGTAGCGTGCAACATACATCTTGAAATGAACGGAGAAATGAATAAATGGGTTGCATTGCCCATGCTGTAAACATGGTAGCGGGAACAGAATTAAGCAAGACCACCACAGAAGAAGGAATTTATTGCAATCCATTCCAGAGGCCTCCAACATGTTGGCAGGCAAAAACAGGCAATAAAGAGTTAAACCCATATCCACCAGATTTTACAGTGCTCAGGTTCGAGAGACACCAGTTGCATTTAACAAAAGGAGGGAGGGTGGGGGAAAGGGAGGGAGCAAAAAATAAGAGTGACAATACCTTCAAAGCAAAGAATATTTTCTCCTTATCCAAATATCTCCTCCCTGGAAAGACTCAGCAGGGCTTCAATTACGCTGACAGTATTTCTATAGTTTGCAGGAATGGAGGGGGGAGCTGAAATAAATGCTTGCTTTCTCCTTCTTCTTCTTCTTCTAATTCCTGCATCTGGGTTGAAAGCCTGAGTACTGTATAAGAATGTGTCTAAGATAAGGCATTTGGAAGCTAATGTTTTCATAACTCCACCCTTCATTCTGCCAATGACAGATAGGGAAAAGTAAGGAGGTGCGTTTCTGAAGACCAGCTAAGAGAATCTGATATAGAGAAGGGCAGAGCAGCTCCTGTCACCTTGAGGACATCATCAAGCTTTGCTTGGTGTGTCAAGGGATGAGCTCCAAAAGTGGGAATAGCCAGGGTCTGTTCCGGGAGGCAGGGATCACAAGTTTTAAGGAGCGAAATAAGGCATTACACATCCATTTAATTCCCCCACTAGCACAACCTGGTAAGCTGTGGGGGGGCATAAAAGAGGTTGCAGGCTGCACTTTCTACATATCCATATAGTGATAGTACCATTGCATTTTATTCCAAGGAATTCCCGGGTTAAGAATACTCAGTTGACAGACGATCCATAGTTAAGGAAGGAGGCTACTGTAGCAAAATTCAAGTTAAATACACAATAATTCGAATTAAATACACAATGGTTCCAGTTAATTACACAATACTACTTATACAGTATTATACAATAAT